CCCCAAAACCCCAAAACCCCAAAACCCCAAAACCCCAAAACCCCGTAATATATAATAATTATTGTATTTTAAACTTATAAAGTTTATAAAGCATGTTCACTACAAGACTTTTGGCGAGGACTTTACCTCGATATACTAGACTCTCCATGGCTACGAAGGCAATGTCTACTGGAGTTGGCCTCTCTGACTTCCCTGATCTTTTGAAAGTTAATTATCATGAGGAATTCGACCAAGGATTAACTGAGGCGGAGAAGGCAAAAATGAAAAGAATTGATATCTATAGATCTAACCCTAGTGACCCTGAAGATATTCCTAAATACGTATCGTATTATATTAACAGAGATGAATGCGGCCCAATGTTCTTAGATGCTCTCATCAAAGTTAAGGATGAAATTGATCCAACCCTTTCCTTTAGAAGGTCATGTAGGGAAGGAATCTGTGGATCATGCGCTATGAACATGGATGGAAGGCATCACCTGGCCTGCTTGTGCTCCCTACCTGATAATAATGAAAAGAGCGTAATCTCCCCACTCATGGGAATGTTTGTGCTCAAAGATTTAGTTGTTGACATGACTCATTTCTATGCACAATACAAATCAATCGATCCGTATTTAAAGAGAAAAACTCCTAAAAAGGAAGGTGAAAAAGAATATTTCCAAAGTATTGAAGATAGAAAGAAACTAGATGGGTTGTACGAATGTGTACTTTGTGCTTGCTGTACCACTTCATGCCCAAGCTACTGGTGGCATCCACAAGAATACCTTGGCCCTGCTGTCTTAATGCAAGCTTATAGATGGGTAATTGATTCTAGAGATGAATACACCGAGGAAAGACTTGAAGCTATCGGTGGTGATATGAAGCTTGATGAATGTTACCAAATCGGTATTTGCTCCCTCGCCTGTCCAAAGCACCTCAATCCAAGAGAAGCTCTTTCTAATCTAAAGGACTTGTATCTTGAACACAAGGAAAAGAAGGAAGCCGAGGAAGGTTTCTAAACTCTCTTTAGGAACTCAGAAATTCGAAAGGAATCAACCTAAAATTTCCTTTGTTCTTTCAACCATGCTCTATAAAATTGGGGTTTTGGGGTTTTGGGGTTTTGGGGTTTTGGG